GAGAGAGAGAGAGAGAGAGAGAGAGAGAGAGAGAGAGAGAGAGAGAGAGAAAATCTCAAAGCAGACAAATTTTCAAACAGAAAATCAATAAAGCAAATAGTAAAACAGAAAGCACACAAACCCCATGAAGTCCATGTAGTGTTGGTAAGCTCGTCCCAGGCATGAGATCTGGCCTGGAGTGTGGCTGACATAGCAAGTGATACTCCGCTGGAGAACCTGAGTCTCCCTCTCCCAGAAATTATCAATTGCAGATGGTTAGGGGTGGGCCTTTGTGTCCACTTCCCTTTCTTGGGGCTGATATTTTTTCTGCTTTGACTCTGTTCAGATCTTGTACATGCTGTCATAGTTCTGTGAGTTAATATGTGGATCAGTCGGATTGTATCTAGAAGCTTCTGTTTCTTTGGAGTAATCTGCCACCTCTGCCTCTTAGCTCCTTTTACCTCCTCTTCCACTTAGATTTCTGAGCCTTGAGGAGAGAGGTCTGATAAGGGCATCCCATTAACGACTGAACGCTCCAAAGCCGGTCACTCTCTACACACTATCTAGCTGTGGGTCTCTCTATTAATCTCCATGAGAGTTGAGGGAGGCACTGATCTATGGGTGTAACAGCGTGCCACTAGGGATTATTCTGTGCTTAGGTTTCTGCAGCAGAAAGATAGTAATAGGTTTTTCCCCAAGGCTCATGATTGATCTAGTCTCAGATTCTTTGCCACTTTAGCAGTGTCATACTGTGGGTCCCTCTCATGGAGTGGGCCTCAAAGCCAATCAAAGTAGTCGGTTACTCCTATTTTGTTTGAGCTGCGATCACACCAGTATATTTTGCAGACTCGGCTCTGTTGTAAGTAGCAAGATTGGTAGCTAGGTGACCTTGATGATTATTTTTCTCCTAGAGTGGTGTGCAGAGTACCATCCAGCATCATGAATGCTAATCAGTAGGGGTGAGGCTTTTAGTTGGACATCAGTTTGACTTTTCGGTGTTCCAACACAAACCTTGTCTTCTTCAGCAATAAAACCTCACCATTAGGTTGTGGAAAACAGTCAAATAGCCATGGCAACATCCTGTGATGTTTGAGAGGAGTGGTCCATGCAACCTCTTTGGCTAGTGACCCAACAATATGAGGCCCATTCCTGGCACTAGAGGTTTTACTCGGTGGCATAAGATGCCTAGTTGGGGCATTGTCCAAGTCTTTATTTGATAGACGTTATTAGACATTTATTTGATAGATGTTATTAGTCATCTTAAGTTTTAAGAATATATTTTTATGAAAAATGTTCAATACTCTATTTTATCTTTTTACTTACATATTTTATCTTTTTATCGACAATAGATTCAGAGACGATGGCGTGGCTTTAGGATCCGGAAATATTGCTTTAATTATTATTATCTGAAAGAATATTTGAGAGCTGTTTCAGAGACCAATGACGCAATTAGGTGAGTACATGACCACTCATGTACTAGTGAAAGTTTACGTGGACTAGCCCCTTGATACTTATTGTTATCACATGTACTGGTGAATTTCATGCAGACGAGTTAATAGATACTTATTGTTATCACATGTACTAGTGAAAGTTTATGTGGGCTAGCCCCTTGATATTTATTATTATCACGTGTACTAGTAAAAGTTTACCACATGTACTAGTGAAAGTTCACGTGGACTAATCAATTGACACTTATTGTTATCACATGTACTAGTAAAATTTTATGTTAATTAGTGAATAGATACTTATTGTTATCACATATACTAGTGAAAGTCTACATGGACTAGTCAATAGATATTTATTGTTATCATACTTAGAAAAGCCCTCGAGACTTAGTGATATTGTGTTGGCGATATAGCTACATGATATTATTTATTTTAAACATTTTTTGTCTATATATTAAAGTACATGTATTATTGACCTTAAGTTAGGTTATTTATGTAGCCCATTTAAGAGTTTACTTTTTATTAAAATATTACATAATGAGCTAGATTCTGCAGATGAAATCTTCAATAAACCTCACATGTTTTTTGAGAAACATGCACAATAGTGGGAATTTGCTTCTGAAGGAAGAAAATATCACAGAATACATGAAAGGGAGCAATATGACAGCAAACAATGTTTTCAAACATCTAATAAGATAGGACTTGGCTTTACAGGACATCTCTGAAGAAAGTGTGGGTGTTGGGGTACTGTTCAGCCAATTTTCCACAGTTCTGTGTGGTTTCATGTTGCTGTGCTTTAAAAGCAGTCTCCCTCAGTGGTATGCCCCACAGCAGTGACACAGTTACCACGTGCCTAGAGGGATCATTATTACAGTCATTATTTTGTTTTACTTTTAAGTCTTTTATGATCAAGGATAATGAGCAATTATTTGTTATATAATTATAAGGTCCTTGCTGTCAGGTATGTATTCCTTCCTGAGGGCCCCTCTGTTTAGTAATTTGTGCTTTTAATCTACTAAAATATTTTGACCACATTCCAATGCTGGAATCCTAAAAATAGTTTCTACAGTGCAGCCAAAGTCCGGTTTTGCCTAAGTGGAGTTCCCTAAAGGTTCCCAGATCTCCTCAGGCCGGCTGGCAACACCAGTGTCACCATCCTTCTCATGAGTGGTCTACAGTACCATCTTTCATAATAGCTGTTTTGGAATGTAATTCCTTGCTGGTGATGTAAGTGTTCCAATTTGTATGCTTTAAACATCATTGAATTACAAATTTTGCAGGACTTCAAACACATAGTATTAAATGAGGCCACACATTCTCAGAAAGAGCCATTACATTCTCCCTCTTATAGGGAAGCTAGCCAATGGTGTGTGTGTGTGTGTGTGTGTGTGTGTGTGTGCACGTGTGCACATAACCAAATGTACATGTAAGTACCGTGTAACATGCACAAAGAGAGCAGGGCAAACATCAAGGGGTGAGGAAGGACAAGTGTAGGAAATGGCTTGAGTTCTCGTCTTCATGTGCTTTTCCTTTGGGTCTTAATACATTTGTGATTCTTGCTTTTAAAATCTTTTTAACATTAGTATAGCTATGGAGGAGGGAGCTAGCTCAGTCAGTAATCTCTTGTTCTGTGAGCTTCAAGACCAGAATTCAGACCCCCAGATCCCAGTGAAAACTCCGCCCCAGGATGAGTGTCTGTAACCCTGCGCTGGGGAAGGAGATGGAGGCTCTCAGAGCCTTGGCGCTCTTTGCAGTCCAGTCTAGCCATGGGGGAGTTCCAGGTTCTCCGAGAGGTGGGGTGTCAGAAAACAAGGCAGAGAGTAGTCAGGAGAGTAGGCAGGAAGACTTGGGGTGTTGACACTGGTCTCTGGAGGCATGTGTACACACATGCTCATCTGCAGACATGTATGCACATACAACACACACACAGACACAGAAATGTAAAGTCACTTGTGCACTGCCTATTTCTATTTGTAGAACCACCCATATTCTGTATGTTTTACATAGGATTAGTCCATTTTTAATGTTCCAAAGAGAATTTATTTTTCAAGGTCTAATGTTTCTCTTAAATTTTTAATATTATGGTCAAAATATATTTGGTATTACTATTAATTTAGTTAATTTATTGTTTTTCAAGATACATAGGTTATTTTCTTTTATATGCTCTTGAAAGGCAAGCCAATGAGGTTCAGTTTTTTCCATCTGTATTTTAATTGCACAACAAATCCATTACATTGGGTATCTTAACTGTTATATTCTCTCATAGCATTAATGTTTCTGATTTTTCTATTTCCTTTAATATATAAACTATTATTTCTTTATTTTTTAAATTTTATACATTTCTCACTTAAGACTCCTTTCTACTCTTTAGGATGCCAGTTTAGAGAGCATTCATTTTATTCCCTGTCTCTCTCTGTCTCTCTGTCTCTATGTGTGTCTCTCTGTGTCTGTCTCTCTGTGTCTCTCTGTCTGTCTGTCTCTCTCTGTGTCTGTCTCTCTGTGTCTCTCTGTCTCACTCTGTCTCTCTGTCTCTGTCTCTGTCTCTCTCTCTCTCTGCACGCACATGAGTCCAAGTCCCTCCAGAGGCCAGCGGTGTCAGATGGCCTGGAGCTGGAGCTACAGACAGTAGTCAGCTGCATAATATGGGAGCTGGGAATGAACTCAGTGCTGCAGAGGTACCAAGCTCTCTTGACCACGAGCTGTCTTTCTACCCCCAGTTTGCTGTGTTTTAAACACTGAGTTAGGGATCTCCTTACTTGGGCACACTTCAACTTCCCTGAGTAGCTGCTGATGCTGTCTTCCCTTGGTGTTGTGTGTTTGCAAGTTTGCTTGTCTTCTGTTTTGTGAAATCGGCAGGGGAAGGAGTCAGCATGGCTGCCTCAGTTTTCCTGTGATCATGGAGACCAGCACAGTTTGGAGTGGATGAACTGGCTAAGAACCTAGCACAGGGTGGAATAATGAAACTGCAGTGTATTTTTAAGTTTGTCAGTTAGAGGCAATTTTGATATTTTTTTTTATTACCAATTCCATTCAATATTGACTTCTATAAAGGCCTAGTAGTATGTTAGGTGTTGGGGATACAGTGTTTGAAATGAGAGCTCTTGCCAGCCTTTCTGTACACATAGCTTATAGGAAGATATCACAAAAGGACATAGAAACAAAAACAGAGAGCATTCATGTTTCTGTGCCTAGGAAATACGCTAAATTCTTAGAATTCTTACAGAGTTTACAACACAATGTCCTAAAAATCTCACATTCTGAGACAACTGAAACTTCTAGAATACCTGAATCAGAAACTTCTTGTCCTGCAGTCACTTTCCTAGCTTTCTTCAGTCTGATGACACTCCTTGAATAATTAATGCCTCTTAGTACCACATACATTTCTCTGCCACCTTCTGCTTTGTGCACAGGTTGCCCTTCCTCCTTCTGCGATCACAACAGCTTTAAGTGACTTCACTTTATAGACGGATGGAGATAAGAAGTCAGTGTAGAGTTTAGATTCATTCATTTATGGTTTTTGTTAAATATTGGTGAAAGAGAAACTCTCAATCTCTCTTTGTTTTACCTAGTCCAGTGTCATCTTAGTTAGGGTTTTATTACTGTTAAGAGACACCATGATCAAGGCAACTCTTACAAAAGAAAACATTTAGTTGGGGTTCGCTTACAGTTGCCGAAGTTCAGTCCATTATCATCATGGCAGGAAGTATGCAGACATGGTTTGGGAGAAGGAGATGAGAGTCCTGGATTTTCTTCCAAAGCCAGTCAGGAGACTCTCTTCCACCCTGGGTGGAACTTAAGCATAGGACCTAAAAGCAGGCTCCCACAGTGACATACTTTCTCCAACCAGGCCACACCCATTTGAACAAGGCCAAACCTCCTACTAGTGCCCCTTCCCATTCAAACCACAAGTGTTAAAAATTTTTGTATATTTAGAAAGAATAAAACAAAGGCTGGGATATATACACATGTTGCTTCAATTATGAACCAGGAACCTGAAGGTGGCCGGCCCATCCTCACTCTCTGAAGGATATTCTAATCCTTGGGGTCTCTCTTACAGTAATGGGTAGGTGGAGTAAAATGTTGATGGCAGATCAATGTCTACACTGCTAACATAACACGATGATTAACCCATTTCCCTACAGCTCCTTGCTCTGTAAGACCTGCAGTTCCTGACGCTCACAATTTCTCTTTTTTGCTCCCCTCACTCATTTATTTATTTATTTGTTTATTTATTTATTTATTTATTTATTTATTCATTCATTTCAGCTTGCTTGTCTCACGTTCCCTCCTGTTTGCAGGTACCCCTTCTATCCCCTGCATGCTTAGTTAACCTTCAAGTTTTCCTTTACATGAGCACTTTATTTTTGTGGTAGCGTATCTGTGCCTTCTTGTCTGGCTTTTTCCTGACTAAAAGGCCCTTAACTTGCTTTCCTAAATCACAGACTATTACACTCAAGTGATGGTTCCTGACACTGTTCAAGAATGCAAAGCACCATGAGTGTGTTTAAAATCTGACATGAAATTCACAAATCTTTTCTCCCTCCGTCCCCTTATCCTCTAGGTACCTCTTATCAAACAAGCACTCTGTCTACTTTAATTTGTTTCACTCTGGAAGAATCGTCTCATAAAAACATGTATGCATATGTCCATCAGCTTTCGAAAACAAATTTACATCATCGATAATAATCCTCAGCTTGATATTTGCACTTTGAGTGTTATTCCACATGTAAGGAATGTTGTTCTATTATGTAATGGCTGTTTGGTATTATGTTATAATTCATAACCTTTGAACAGAACCTCTGGGACAGACATAATTGTTTCTGCTATTATAAAGATAGGATTATAAAGGATATCCTTGTGTTTCTTCATTTTCCTTACTCCCTTTTCTTGGATAGAAACATTAGGGTATCTGGTTGTCAGGTCCTCAAAAACCTTTTCTAAGGAATTTGACTGATTGAACTGTTAATAATATATATCAGACTTTATACATATATTATCTATACTGTAC